TGCTTGGCGGATGTCAGCTTATTTATGCACCATCTTCTCCAGTTGCTGTGCGGCAAGGCTGGCTCACGGGGTGCAGGTGAGGTCCATGCCCTCCTCTTCCAAAGCTCCAGTTCCCTCATCTCTCCCTTCCCTCACCCCAGCCCCACCTTATGGTTGAGGAACCAGGCCCCTGAGATTTCTGCCAGCATGTCCTCATCTTATTTGCCCTCCTTAAAGCTCTGGGGAAGGAAAAGCCAGATGCCCGTGGGAAAACAAGGAATGAAATGAGTGTCTCCTGGAACCAGAGAGAGGAGAAGGAAGTGAGTGTCTGCTGAGGGTCTCTGATGTACTGGCCACTTTACCCTCCTCGTTTCCTTTGGGCCTCCTAGTGCTATTATCACTCTTCAGCTGAGTCAACTTAGGTTTGTGGAGGCTGAACCCCTGCCGGTGGGTGTGTAGGAATGTGAACCCAGGGCTGTCTGGCTGTAGAAACCAAGGATCTGCACTGTGTTTCTTCTGCACGTATTTTAGGTCTAAGAGGTTCACTCCAGGCGGAGGTCTCCATTGAAGTGGGAGTCAAAGGAATGGAAATGACTAACAGGATGTGTGTTTCAGTGTCAGTGCAGAGGAGGAGAGAACACGTGGGCGAGAAGGAAGCCTCGGAGCTGGGTCCCTTCTCATCCAGCCATGACGCCAGTCCCTTCAGTGCCTGAAATGAGTGACAACAGCACCAGGAGCAGCTGCAAACTTGTGTAGCCCAGTTGGTCCTCACATCGCGTGCCGGGCTGTTGTGAGGCCGGTGGTTTTAGTATGGATATTTTATGATGAGGAAACTGAGGCACAGAGAGGTTCACAGACTTGCCCCAGATCACAGATAGTAAGTCTGCCGTCCTGGGATTTGAACCCAGACTTTGCTTTCAGGACCAGGCACGGGCACAGCACCATGTCGGGTGAGGGCAGGGGCCATCTGTCCACATCAGTGGTTCTCCAAGTGTGGTCCCCAGCCCACAACTTCAGCATCACTTGAGAGCTGGTTAGAAAGGCAGGTTCTTGAGCCTTACCGATCACCTGCTGAATCAGAAACTGCAGGGACAGGTCGCAGTTTTCTGCATCTTAACAAAGCCTTCTGGATGGTGTGTCCACACCCATGAACTACAATGCCCCCCCCCCCCCACATGCTAGCCTTGGCTGACATCTGTTAAACTAGAGAAATCTTTAAAACCCACACATAGAAAAGAGTTAACATTTATCAGTAATAATAAGCCTTTACTGAGTTATTACTATATATCAGGCAGTGTGCTCCACCCTGGCCAACATTATCTCATTTGGTCCTCACACTGAGCGCTTCAGTATATGTGCTGTTGTTATTCCCATTTCACAGATGGAGAAGCTGAGACTTGGAGACCCCAGGGGACTTTCCCAGAGTCAGCAGCTGTGAAATAGCAGGGTTAGGGCTGCACCCAAGTTCATCTGATGGCAGAGTCCATGCTCTGAACCCTCCCTCATTGTCGCTGCTTTAGCTAAGAGTTCTTGAAGAATGAGCATCAGTCAAAGTGCAAATATTGACTTTTATTCAAAAAAAACTGAAAAGGCACTTTTAAAGGCAGGTTTATTAAATACTTTTAACTCTTCCCATACTCTGAAACGAGTATTTATTCCCAGAGCTGATTAGTACAGAAGCATTAACTACCCCATTGAAGGAAAAGTGATAGCGGTTATAAACCTCCATGGCCACACGGGGGCGGCAGCAAACAGCACAGGTTGCTCTTTGCTGCTCCAGCCGGTGGGAGGAAGCCACACTTGCTCCCTGGTCTCCGTTTTTCCCCCATGCACCCAGTTCTCATTTACTCCGGTGGTGAAGCTTTTCAAATCAGAAACTAAATTGCAATAGCAGGATTGTGCAGAGAAATTGCTTAAAACAAAATGATTATAATAATATATTTAGGGCTCTTCTCTTTATCAGCGTGACAAAACAATATACTGAACGTGCTGTGGTGGGATTAGTTATCCACTTGCATTCCTTAGCCAAGAAAAATACCCTTGATTTTTCATCAGCTGGTTTAGTTCTAAATCCACGTATTCTTGGACTCAGGTCAAAAAACAGCCAGTATTTTTTTTCACCTTTCTTATTGTTAACACTTTTTTGAAATATTCATAGCCTTTTTGAATATTCAAAATCCTGTAGGATTTTGTAGTAGGCAATTAGAGAAAATAAAGAAATATGTTCCTGGCTTCTAGCCTTATGGGCATCCACAGTAACGCTGGTTTCTTAGGTTTCACCCTCTGCCTCCCCCCACGTCCGCCCAGGACCACCAAGATGCCGCGCGCAGAGAGCTCCTGTTGATTTTGAACCCCATGTCCACGGGGGCACTTCTCGGGAACCAAGGCTATTTCCATACCAGCGGCTGAATGCACTGGAATTTTGACTACAGTGACTATGATAATTTATTAATCAAGCTGGGATACTTTTGAGAATAAAAGCAAATGTTTTTAATAATTTTGCCGTCCTGGGGACAGTCCGAACATGTGGTCCCCCTGACTGCAGACGTTTGCCCCTTCCCGCTTGGACTCCGCCCACTAAGATTAATGTGGCGCTGCGTTCCTCTGCTCTTCCATCAGCAAATATTCATCGGGTGTTTTCTACGCGCTGGATTCCCTTGCTATTGTTACATTATTTTCTAGTGAGAGCCCTCTGAGGTAACAATTGTTATTCCTGTGTTTACAAGTAAAAAAACTGGGACTTTGTAAACTACCCGCCCACGATCACATCCCCAGCAAATCTAAGAGCTAAGGTTTGAGCCAGGTGCCCCCTACGGTAGAGTCATGCACTCGAGACTGTGCTGACAGCGCTGTCCCTGTTCTGGAGGCTTCTCCGTGGGGCTAGTCCCACCTGGCCCTGGCCCTGGCCCTGGCCCTGCAGTGAAACGTCAGCCGTAGGGTGGAGCGGCTAGGAGTGGGAGCCTGAGTCAGACTGCCTGGGTTTGAATCCTAGGCCCACCTCTTCATGGCCTTGTGGTTCGCTGATTTTCCTCATCTGTAAAATGGGTTTAGGTAACTGAGTATTGATCTCAGATGGTTGAGGCAAGGATGAAATGAGTTAGTATCTTTAACATTTGAAGGTTGCCTGTATGTTCTGCTATTGCAGTAGGTTGGGGTAACATAAATGTTCTCCAAATCAAGAGAGTGTCTATTTCTTTTCGAGGCAGGATGGGGGTGTGGAGCTGGTAGGTAAAGAGATGGAAATGGCAGGGTGGAGTCGGTGGTTGCATTCTGATTTTACCTACTAGGGACTGAGCTGGGAAACGGCAGAGGAGGGGGTTAGAGAGCAGCGCAGGGCTCCCTAGAGAGGCGGGAAGGAGCCCATTGGGGCTCGGGCCAGTGAGGTGGGTGCGTCTTAGTGACGTGAAGAATGGGTGCTGTTTTGTGTGCCTGGGCTGTGGCGGGCCGGCCTGCCTGCCTGGAGAAACACAGCGTGGTCTGGGACTAACGAGGCGCAGCCGCAGCGGGGCAGGCAGGCCAGCAGCTACGAGTCAGCTCGGCTGCTGACCAGAGCAGGCCCTCCTTGGTCACAAGCCAGCCCCGTGCCTGTGGGCATCGTTTCTCCTCTGAGCAATTGCAGTGTAGTGGACACTTACCCGCAGATGACATGGGCTGGCATCTCCCAGAACCTCTCCCTGGGGGGCGGGTCCTGAGGAGCTTTTGCATCATCGCAGGGACAGCCTCCTCCCTTTGGTGGAGCTTTGAACGGCCCGGCCCGTGTGCACCATCAGCCTGCGGCCGCGGCTCTGCTCTGGGTGGTTTGGCAGGCAGGCACCTCAGCACTTCTCCCTGTGGGGTTTGTGGGTCCCGTGCACTGTGCTTGCACCGTGCTTACAGAGATTGCCCTTGGTATTTGGGGGAGGGGTTCCCCTGAGAAACTGTGATTATCAACTTGGGAAGGAGCCTGGGTCTGGAGGCCAAGACAGGGAAGTTCGAACTCGACTGAATGTGGTCACTTTGGAGCCATTTGCTACATTTCCTCATTTCATTGTGACGTTCACACTGGGAAACTTGAAGATGTCTCCTCTCCTATGAAGGTGATGTCTCCAGGTGATTTGCAGCTTGGGAGGGGCCCTGGCCCTCAGGGGGATCAGGAACCCGGGCTGCAGGGTCAGGTGAAGGACCCCGTTCCAGCCACCGGCCACCCTGGTAACGACAGCAAAGCAGATGCTGCAGCAACACCCCCCACCCCACCCCATGTCCCAGGGATGCCTTTCTTTGTTATACATCTTCAGTGCTTTACTTGCTGAACATGCACATAATGCTTTATATATATATATTTTTTTTAATTGAATAAGTGAACTTTAAAAAGACAAGGAGGGTCATCCCCAAACGCCTCAGAGTGATGAAGGAGTACGTGGGACTTGTGCTCGGAGGTGCTTCTCAGGTCTGACCGTTTTGCAGGCCTCTCGGGTGGGCGCTGACAGCGTGCGTGCCGCAGGACCCGCGGCCGCCTGCCCTGAGAGCACGTGTCCCGGCCCCCCGCACTTCCGGCCCCCGCACTTCCGGGAGTCAGAGAACGCCTCCTGCCCACCTCCTGCCCGGTCGTTGCCAGAGGGCCCGGCACGGCTCTCATTCACTGTCTCCCCTACAGTCCTTTCCTCGGTGCTGACAACTGACAGAGCTTAGGGGGGTCGCACTTCTCACTATTTTAAAAAAAACTGCCTTTTAATAGATGAAAGCACTTAAGAGATTTTTTTGGTGTCTATTCGCCCTGTAATTCCACTTATAGTAATCTATTCCAAAAAAAAACCCCTGAGCACACACTCAGAAAGTTAGGCAAGAAGACACTTACCACCACATTTTCTAGTAGCCAGAAAGTCACAACTTAATTTCCCAACGACAAGGGATTAGATGGCCGACCATCACGAGGCCATCAGAGACCCACCGGGCAGGCCCGCCCCGCAGAGGGCTCCGGGGAGAGCCCACGCAGACCGACCCGGGACTGGTGAGTGACCCCGTCCGTGCCCTCTCTCTTCCAGTGTTTCGCTGTGCGCTCGCTGGGATGGGTAGAGATGGCAGAGGAGGACCTCGCCCCCGGGAAGAGCAGTGTCGCCGTCAACAACTGCATCCGGCAGCTCTCTTACTGCAAAAACGACATCCGGGATACAGTCGGCATTTGGGGAGAGGTAAGGAGCCCTGGAGGTGTTGAACGGCAGGCTTGGTTCTGTTCCGCCGGGCCTCACGAGAGCCCCGAGCCTTGTGGGCCGTGCGTGCGTGGTGCTGAGGGGGCTGCAGGCTCGTACCAGGCGTGTTTTTCCACTGAGGCCGGCAGTGTAGGCGGCATGCACGCCGCGATCTGTCAGTCAGCACTGGGAGGTCCCAGGGTGGGCGGGGCCCCGGGAAGAACGTCTCTCAGCGTCTCCGTAACAGAGCCCAACCCGAGATCTCTGGGTCCCCAGGAATTCCCTGTGGGCTTTAGGGCCCAGAAAACCCCTTAAATTTGCGTGCAAATTGGGCGTGCCAGGATATGAGAGCAGTTTTCTGGGAAGTTCCCGGGGGGGGGGGGGGGACCCCCACACGCGCACAGAAGTACTGATGCCGCTGCTCTGAAAGTTGGAAAAACCATCCTTTATAACGCAGTGTTCTTTATTTACAACCTGAACATCAACATTATACATGAGCTTTGAAACTGATACCTATATATTCTTTCTCACTTAGAACAAAGTCATTCCACTTTGAAATATTAGCAGAGATAGTTTCAGAAAGGAGAATAAGCATAAATACGGAATATCTGTAAAAATCCCGTGAAACGGGATAAGACAGTTCCTACTGTGCTCGGAGAGCTGTCTAACAAGCATATAGGGAGTATTTGGAATAGTGTTGCTATGTGAGCAACTTGGCCCCTCCCAGCAAACAGAGCGTCTGACGCCTTTGGGAGAACCAGTTGTGGTTTTTAAGCCAGACCAGCCCAAAGAAAGTGCATCAGTGACCTCAGTGAGGAGGCCCTGGACCTCCCTGTAGGTCACGTACTAAAAAGCGTGGTTAACTCACCAGGCGAGATTGTCAGCCACAAGCCCTTCAGAGTCTGTTAGTGCTTGCCAGGTGTTCGCCCTAAAGCAGGTACACAGAAGGGGCTGCTGCCCGCCTGTGGGAGTTGTGTGGGGGCCTTTCGCTAGTGGGCCTGGCTGAAGACCTCTTTTAGGCTGCAGTCAGTGCTTCATTCCTGGTGGGAAGGGATGGAGGGAAGAAGAAGGCACCACAGTCCCTGGCAGCTCTCAGCTATCTCAAAGCCCATCACCTGGCTGACCCCAGGGTGACCTGGCACCTGCTCAGCTCTCCACTTCCCAGCCCTCCGTGGTTATGCGGCTCCTGAGCACTGCTGCGTGGCAGCGCTCGGCTGAAGCCTAGAGGAAAGGCGCCGGGTGTAGCTGAAGGGCCGTGGAGGGGAGGGCGGCTTGGCTCCCCATGGCTCACAGAGCCGTGGCTCAGCTACTGACCAGTTACTCAGCATCCGTGAGGTGTTGGGCCACTGAGTCTGTCCAGGACTGCACCTCAGTCGGAGTTACTCTGCAAACTAGCTGATTTAGAGTTGGCTCTTTGCCCAAGGTCTGGACACGGCCATGACCTTGAAGTGGCCACAGACAGGCAGAGGCCCTGCCCCACAGCAAGCTGAATGATAACAAACCCAGCTGTTGGGGCGAGATGGAGAGGTCGTGAGCCAGGGTGCTTTGGGCACATGGCATAGTGTCTGAGGTGTGGTCAAGGCAGGGAAATGTCAGCTGCAGGGCCACCAGGAAATGTCACAAAGCTGTTGCTGCTGTTCGCCAGCCCAGTCTTGCAGGTGTGGAGCCGTGTGAACGTGGAGATGACAGGGTCGCTGTGGGTCTGAGAAGGCCCTTGGGATGGGGGCGGGGGGTGCCTGCGGGGGTCTGGGCAGGAGGGGGCAGAATGGGCAGGGCACAGTTCTCAGGGGATGCGGTGTGGAGTTAGTAAAAGACCAGAGTCTCCAGAGGACCTGCCATTACCCTTTTTTCTTAAAGACTCAGAAGTGTAAATGATTAAAAATTAGAGCCAGCTAGAAAGCAGGCTAGGGACACATTTCAGAGGACTTGGAGAGGGAGGGAAAAATTTGGGGTGTGAGGGAAATGTGAAAGATTCACAAATATTTAACTCAGGAGAGGAGCTTTCTCTCTTAGGAAAGCAAATCGCAGACCCCACGGGTGGCTTCTTTTGATCACTGCGGCACCGCCCCTGGGCAGCCACGGACCCTGCAGGCTGTGTGCTTCTTGAGGAAGGTGACGTGCTTTCTCCTTGAATCCAGGGCAAGGACATGTACCTGATCCTGGAGAACGACACGCTCAGCCTGGTGGATCCCATGGACCGCACCGTGCTGCACGCGCAGCCCATCGTGAGCATCCGCGTGTGGGGCGTGGGCCGCGACAACGGCCGGTGAGTGCCCTGGGGCGGGGCGGTGGCTTGCCACCTCTCCAGGTGCCCCAGTTTTAGTGGTTTAGCATAACACCAAAGTGCAGTCTCAGTGTTAACTGCACTTCACTGAATATGCAACGACAACAGACTCTCTTTATAAATGTAAAAAACTACAGTGTACCTCTGTTTCCCCACCTCAGAAACCCTCCACACTACTTCCCTTCCTGGTGTCTGTCCCTCAAACTTTTGGTCACTTCTGCATCCTTGCCTCTGATTTCTGCCCATTTCTCCTCCTGCTCATCCTCATTCAGCTAAGTTCCCAGCTCACCGAACCCTCTCGTTTCGTCTTCCCCCCTCTCTGCAGTCTATTTTAATCCTCTGTTTCACTCGGTCAAGTCTTCGCCATTTCACATGCACCCCTATTGGTACTTTCTCCGTAGGGGGCTTGCGTGAAGGGAGCGCCTGGGTAGCCTTGAATCGTAAATGCTAGATCAGCAAGTGACAGTCACCAGGAGCTTCTGGGGCTCGGGGTTGGCTCAGCGTTTTTAGCACATGAAACATCTGGTCATGTCAAAATCCCATTCAATGTGTGTGCATGGTTTTTTTTCTGAAATTCTGCTAAAAATCTGTTATTTCCAGAAGTGCTTCTTACTTAGACGTGTTGTGAATTATCTGTTCTTCAGGATGACTGGAAGAAAGAACGTTCTGGTTTTCCAATACCATAACGTTCTTACTAAAGTAAGAAAGCTGCGAGTTAGCTTTTCTAACTAAAAACTGGCAGTTATCGCTGACAACTTGGATGCCATTGTTAAGTGATGGGGCTACATTAAATGCACCTAACTGTTGAATTACATTTGACCCCACAGTCCCCATGAGCCCAAGCAGTTCAAACCCATGTTGTTCAAGGGTCAACCCTATTTTCTATCTGCAGGTGGAAACTGGAGTGAATGCCGACTTAAGTTACATGTGGATTTTCGACCACTCAGGTGGTCGGTGCCCCTAACTCCTGTGTTGTTCAAGGGTCAACTGTATAGTTAATCTCTGGCAACTCTCCATGTGCCTGAAGTTCTCCTAGAATTTAGGGGTGAGCTATAGGATGATTAGCTAGCGCTTCGTTGAAAGGGGCCGAGAACACGGCAAAGGCAGATGAAAACCCCAGACCACAGAGAGGTGGCTCCCTGGGTTCCACTTTTGGGCATTCTGGGGTATTAAAGCATGCGGTCCTCTCCAGAGGGGTCTGCTTTGGGCTATGCCCCAGCTTCAGTCTATAAGGTTGGGCATTCGTGGCTTTGATAGTGTTTTGATTCAGTTGCAAGTTCTAAGCCAGAAAAGAAAATGGTGAAGCACTCATCGGTCAAAGAACATTGCTGGGGCCAGATGCGAGAAATGGTCTGTCAGAGAAAGGCGAGGTGTCCTCTGACTGCCAGCGGGATAATCCTTCCTGGGAGCACAGCTGTGTCTTCAAGCTTTTGTAACAGAGTGACGCATGGTGACAGCTGGGCCAGGTGCTCTGGGGGCACGGGTGGCCAGATTGAACGCGCACACCTGTCACTCACTCGCTTGGCAGAGCTGCAGCACTGAAGTCGCTGCGTTGACAGGAATTGATTAATTTCTGCAAGGAAAATACCTGATAATGTTTGCTCATTATTAAAAATGTTTAGCCTTGATGGAAGGGTAGAAGGTGCTTGATCCTTCCCTGGTTCCTGTCCTCCAAGTTTGTTTTTTCAGGCAGGAGCCAAGGTGAAAATCATTGTATACCGCACACGTACAGCTGGGTGGGGCTGTGTTCCTAAGGCCGTGAGCGAGTTCACCGAGGATGTTTTCATCCCAGCCCTTCAACCTGAGGCCAAACGCTACCTGCTAGGGAAGGGAAAAATGGTTCAAACTCTAGTTGACTAAATTATTCAAGCTCTGAGCCTCCGTTTCTGCCATCTCTGAAGTGCAGATCATAATAACGACCACAAAGCACGTGTATATGTGCCTGTGTGTGTACAGTAATTGGCACAGGGGCGGGGTCATGGCAAATGCTTAATAGCATTTTGTTAAAGCAATAGACTAGACGCCAGCTAGCAGAGGCAGCTAATTACAGGGCTTCCTTTCAAACACAGGGTGGGGCCAGACCTCAGGGAGGTTTCAGGAGCAGATTCTCCTTGGAGGCACAGGAGGAGAGGCTGCCCCAGGCACTGGGAGTTCAGGCTCCTACAAAGCAGGAAGAGCCTGCTGCCCTCTGCCCCCCAGTGGTGTCAGTAGTTAGGTCCCATGGCCTCAGCTCTGCTTTTGAGAGGTGGGCTGGGTTTACCCCCACACTTTAAACCACTTCTTATTCTTGCTCAGTGTTAGCAGAGGAGTGTAATTTAGAAATTCACTCAGGGTTCCCTCTCAGCTGTCAGAGCCTCAACAAGCCCCTGGGGTGGGTGGGGGCCGGAGGAAGGGTCTGTTTATCTCCACTGGTCCCTGAGTTTTCACTCCCTGGAAGAAGGGGACTTTGTATTCCTGCCTTTTTAACTTTTTTTTTTTTTGCTTTGGGTCCTTTTTTTAAAAAAAAACAGCAATTTACAAGAGCAAATTCAATTTGTAATGCTGCAAAGGAAAGGGGTTTTCACTTTGCATGAATAAAACATAAAAATGTTTCATTTTGCTTGTGAAAATGACTCTATTTCACACTCTCCTTTGTAACTTTCCTTGCTGAGAAAATGGCATCTCTTAGGGGGTTTCTTGATGTGGTTAAAATGAAAAGAAATATATGTAGACCAGAATCTTGAAAGGCACAGCACCTTTCTAGAAATTCTGAGTGCTTCACTAAGCCGTGTAATTTTAGAATTTATAAAGTTATTTTGGGTTTAGCATTTTCTTAAGGTTTTCAAGTGGTTTTGATTTGCCTGAAGCAATCCCTTTCGGAGTAAGTGTACCTTGGGTAAGGTGGTGATCCGGCTGTGATCCCCCCACGGACCTCCAGAATTGATTTGGAGAAACTTCTCGTTATGCAGGAGTGGCAGTCCCGTTGGGTGTTGGTCCTCGGAGGGGTGTTGCCTGTTGCTCCGTGGGGCTGAAGTTTTCGTCTTGCTCCTGAGTCATGTCTGCCTTTGGCATTCCTTGGAGCACATTTGTGTTATTGCCCAGCAGGGGGAGGGCTGGCTCCCTCTGCTGTCTGGGCCATTTTGTGTTTTGGTTCCTCCTGATCTCAGCGAGGTATAGTGGGAGGCTCCCGGTTGTGGGGCATGGCTTCCGGACATGGGGCGTGGCTCCAGGACGTGGGGCGTGGCTCCCAGACGTGGGGTATGGTGAAAGGGGTGTCGTGAGCCTCGGGCTCCCAATCAGAGGCAGCACTGGGAAGCGTCCAATCTGACCCCCTCTGCTCCTGCCCTTGTCCTTCTGGGTGGGAATGGCTCCGGGCCCCAAAGCTGGCTGGCATTTTGCCGCTGGTGACTGGGACAGGTGACCAAGGTGCCACCTGTCATCTCATCGCTATGGGCCTGCCAGGATGCCTGTCCAAGGCTGAGGGGGTTGGAGAGGGTTCAGGGACCCATGGTGATGCCTGGCCACAGCTGTCTTTCTACTCATATGGGCCCTGGGGAGAAATTTCTCCTTATGCTTTTATTGAGGAATCAGAAGCAAGCAACATACTTTCTGAACATAGGGGACTGTTAATAGGGACTTCTCTCCTCTGTGGCAGCTATGGGTCCGTCCTCTGGGCACATGGACCCTTGTGTAGGTTGCCAACAGGCAGCGGAGGGTGCTGGTCCCACCTGCTTCCCATGAGAAAGGAAACTGGGTGGGCGGTATAGTCGGAGGGTTTCTGACCCCTAAGTAGGGGTCTCCCCTGGATTTCCAGGGCAGTGCGCAGTGGAGCACTAAGGAAGGGAGATGTGCACAGGCTTTCCTTGAGGGAAAAAAACCCTCTAGGGTCCGTCAGGAAACTGAGCCCTTTTCGGAGGGTTTCTGCGCTGATGCGCCCTGGGAGCCTCCGGGAGAGCGTTTCCACCGTTTCCAGACTTGACGGGAACCCTGTTCTTCCTGGACGCGCAGGCGCGGAACAGACCGGGAAATGCTGCTCTAGTCCGTCAGCTGGTTAATTTAAATTAGTGACAACACTAGGTTGCTCTCTCTGCTTTTAAGGGGAAAAATGGAATTACTTTTAATAAGCCACCATCATAAGATGCAGAGCCCACCGGGCCTGCGCTGATGTAGATGAGGTTCCTTCGTCATCAACAGCAGCCACCACGGCCACCGCCCACACGGCAAGCACGCGCGCGCTTCTAAAGCGAGCGTCCTTGTGCTGACCCTGCGGGCCGGGAGGCTCGCACACGGAGCAGAAAGCTCGCAGCTTGTACAGCAGATCCGCTCTTCCCAGGAGGTGTTTTATACATCTCCTCTGTTTTTGATGAGTAATTTTATGCATCTCTTCTGTTTTTTATGAGTAATTTTAATAAAATTTTATCACGCCATAGATTATTCATAAATTGTAGAAAGAGTTTATCTTTGATTAACTTTTCTCTAGTTAAGATCTCAGGGAACTTTTGTCTAAAAAATAGAGTGTCAAGTGTACAGAGTACTTTTTCTGCCCCTCCTCGGATATTCCCAACTGGTTTTTCCTCACGAGGCCCTGGTTTAAGTAGTTCTAGGGCTGTTGCCACACGGCGTTCCTCCTCTTTTCCTGGCCAGTGTTGTTTTTTTGTTGTTTTGTTTTGATTTCTTTCGAAAACTGTGTTCCATTTGGAGGTGGATTTTGCATGGAGGGTCCCTGAGGAACACTGGGGTAGATTAGTTAAAATGTATAAAACTGCATCTCACAGGGTTTTAAATTGAAAAGGTGGTTTAGTCACCAAAGTCTTTCATCCTCTCATTTTAGAGATTGTGAACCGAGGACAGAGGGTGTGATAACCCCCAGGTGACTGGTCCCGTCCTGGCAGGGCCTGAACGGACTCCTGGGACTCCCCTGCCCGGAGAGGACAGTCTCTGCTCCTCCCAACAAGGGCTGATGGAGGGTCAGAATAACCCGGGTTGGCAGGGGGACCGGACTC